CAGTACCGTCCTGGACTCAGCCACTGGTACCTTCCACATCCACTCTCCTGCCCCAGAGTATCTTTGTAGAAATCACCAAGGATGTTTACCAACTCCGAATTCCTCTTCTGCTATCTTTTAACCTTTCTGTAGCAGATAGCAAATCTATTTCATCTTCTGCTTGAACACCCAGTGAGACCACACGTGGCCTCCCTCCTTGAGGCATGACTGTCGGAGTCTGGCAAGAGGAAACGTTGGGGCCGTTTATGACCTGGTTCTTATGTCTGAGGGGTCTTGCCTCTTTTTCTCTTTCAGTGTCTTTACATCTCCTACTTATCCAAATGGCTATTTATTATCAAGGTGACCTCCCCCCCCCCCAAATAGAAAGTAACAAAATAAGGTTACCTAGGATTCTGTCTGAGTTGTATCACCTCTAGCCCAACAACAAACCAGCCGTGGAGGAGGAAGCCGTGTGCTGAGCTGTTACATATCTTTCTCTTTGCAGCACTTCTTGCTACCCCCGTAACTAGCCTAATAAAAATGAGGTTCTCTTCTACTTCTAAGACACCACCTTCTCCAGACACCTCCTTCCTCTGTCTCTCAGACCAGCCTTCCGCCCTAGTCTTTTTTTGTTTGTTTGTTTGTTTTTCGAGACAGGGTTTCTCTGTGGCTTTAGAACCTGTCCTGGAACTAGCTCTGTAGACCAGGCTGGTCTCGAACTCACAGAGATCCTCCTGCCTCTGCCTCCCAAGTGCTGGGATTAAAGGCTTGCGCCACCACTGCCCAGCCCGCCCTAGTCTTAAACTAAGGAATCTTCCCTGGGCCCTCTTACCTCCCCTTTTTCCACTTTTTTTTTTTTTTTTTTTTTTTTTTTTTTTTGTCTTGGCTAACAGCTGAACTGCATCTGGGAACAACCACAGCCCAAGCCACCAGACACTCCTGTGGGGGACTATCTTCATCAGATTATTTGAAGCCGGAAGACCCATCCTAAATGTGGGCAGCGCATACTGGAGGCAGCACACATAAAAGGACATGGAAGAAGGAAACTTCTGCCCTTGGCTTGCTTGCCTTCACTCTTGTTGGCAAGCGCACCTATGCCGTGAACTTAGGCACTCTTACAGCGGTATTTGAACGAGGTTCTTGGGGCTTCCAACCAGAGACTCTCTGGGAGCCCTCCAGGCCTTCAGAGCCAGGCTAAACAGCCGAGATAGCCAACCTTACAGGCTCAGCAACTAACTACAAGATTCTTGGGCTCTTCAGTGTGAGACCACAACCCCTGGACTACCTGGACTGTAATCTGTAAGTCAATCTACTAAATTACCATTTGATATATACATATTTATCCTACCAGTTTTGTTCCTTTACAGAACCTGGTCAATATGCTTTATATGATATCTCTATTTTCTGGAACTATTTCCTTTGCTGGGTTTCATATATCTATCGTCCACCCGTTGATGGTCCCCAAATCTATGTCCCTCTTCGCATTCTAAAACAGACCATCTTTATCCTCCAGACTTTATCATGGGTATATTCTCTCTAGTGCCGGTCCTTCCATTGTAAATCCGACTTTGATAACTCCTTCCATTCAGCCTCCACCTCCACTCAGCCCCTGGTACACTGGTTACAGTGCATACAGGCCTCACACAGGGACTGACAATAAGCTGCCGGCCTGCACATCTATCTCCTCCTACCTCTCCTGCCTCGTTCATCTCTGTAACAAATCCCCAGGCGTCTCACGACAGGCTGCCTTTCCAGCCTGCTCAGCACACTCTGGTCAAAACTGCTGAGCAAAGCGAATCCACAATGTAAGGGAGGAAAGCGTTGTGTGGCTCAGTGTATCACGGGGTTTCAGCCCATGATGGCTGAGAGAGCATAGCAGAACAGAGACATGCGGGGTAGAGGGAGCGTGGAGCAGGAGCTGCATGTGTGGCAGCAGCCCAGGAATCAAAGAGCAGGTCAGAACCAAGAGCTGGTCGCCCACTTCTGCCAGCGAAGTCCTACTTCTTAAATATGCCAGAGGCTCCCAAAATAGCCCCAGCAGCTGGGAAACAAACATTCAAAATGAACATCTGACAAAGACCTTACAGATTTACACACACACACACACACTCATTTACTCATTTGACTATGAGAGACCTCTACTTTTCTGTCGTCAAGCTAAATAATAATAATTATGGCTACTATTTAAGAAGTTCCTATATGCCAGATACTATACCTACAGCTTTAATAAAGTCAATATAGTAACCATCTCCTTTATTTCTCTGGACGACTGTAGAGGTGGACCTCAGATTGTTATACTGCAAGTAAAAACCCACTGAAGACCCGTGACTCACCTGCTCACAGTCATGCTGTTAACTAGTGGAGCTCAACTTCGAAGACAGCCTATCCTGACTCTAAGACCTCTCTGGCCTTAACTAGAGATTCAGTTGATAGGAATTAGAATGTGTTCTATGTTTTGTCATGCAAACTGCCCTTAAGTTAGACTATATATGTCATTCCAGCACAGGAGACCCCCTCAGTGACCCCCCAAGGAATCAGACTCACTGGACTTAGTTCTGTTCTACAATTGTTTTGCTTGTTCAACAATGAAATCACTATCTGTCCTATGTGGGCGTCAGGAGCTCAGCATACCCTACCCCCCTCTTCCGCTCCTCTCTGGAGCCTGCCTCTCTAAGAGCCTCTGCTTCTCAGGCAGACCCTTCCTCTTTCATGGCCAGCATAATGCAAATCATTTCGCAAAGTCAGTGGAAACATTTCCTCTCTTCTGCCAAAGCCTTCTACATTACCCTGGGAGGAGCTGAGTTTTGGAATGTGTCTGCTCCGTTATGATGCCTTTAATCCCTCAACCGTGGATTTTAGCCTTTCAGGTTGTGATGAATTTGTTTACAGGTGTATCTCCAATAATGAAATCTGCCACAGGTTCTCTGAGGTCAGGAAACGTCCTGCACATCCCCTCTCCTTTTGTGCAGGTAACACGTCTTCAAAGTCTCCTTGCTTAGTAGATAGTGCATGAGTGAGTGACCCAATACTCTTGAATGAATGACATTTCCGCGAGTACATTTAGTTTTAATCAGCTCTGCTCAAGTCTACTTCTGGTTATTTCTAGTCTCTGAAAGTGAGGTGAAGAATGGGATAAAGAGTGTGCTAAGTTCCCAAAGGCCTCTGAAAAGCAGCCGAGAGTTATGCTGACCAATGGAGTAGCCTCCAGCCACCTGTTGTCAGTCAGCACTTGAAATCTAGCAAAAGTGACTCAGGCTGTATTGTTAATACCGCTGTGTACATGATTTTGGAGACTTGCTATTTCAACGAGTGAATAACATTTGGGATTAAGCTAAATTTATTATTAAAAATATTTTTCCTTGTTTTCTCCTCGGTTTCCTAAAGTGAATATTAAAAGACTTTAAAACTATAAAAAAGTTAAGCAGAGCTGGCTTAGACTTTAAAATTTCATGAGAGTTGTCAGTGTGTCTTAGGAAGAAAATGTTGGGTGTGAGTTAGGATATGTTTCGCGTTTTTGCTTCTAAATTCACACATCAGAAAGGAAGGAGGAAAGAGACTCAGAATGAGGGAAAAGAAGACAGGGAGGGAAGACAAGATGGAGGGCAAGTTGTTTTAGATAACAGCTCAGTGAGAGAGTTTTGCCACATGACTAAGCTTTTGGTGATCAAATCATCTTTTCAGTTAACACAATGTTTCAAATTTTTCTATAAATAATTTTAAAGATAATATCCAAATGTTGAGTTAGACTTAGCTATATCTAGTCTTAACTCAAATAGTTAGAAATTTTAAGGGATAAAGGAGATAAGACATGAAATAGAAACATGTAGCTATAAATATTCTCCATTCCGCTGTTCTCCCTGGACCAGTTTCTCTCCACCCACCAGGTCCTGCTCAGTAGCTCCTGCAGTCGCTTATAAAATAACAATTCTGAGGCTTAATATTAATTAAATACTCTTTGATCTATTAGCTCAGGCTTATTATTAACTAACTCCTACATCTTAAATTAACCCATTTCTATTATTTTGTATTTTCCCACAAGGCTCGTGGTTTGTTACCTCTTGCTTCATAGGCAGCTACATGGCAACTCTGACTCCGCCTTCTTTCCTCCTCTATCTCTGTTTACATTTCCTGAATTGCTATATTCTGCCCTGCCATAGGCCAAATCAGCTTCTTTATTAACCAATGGTAATAAAACATATTCACAGTATACAGAGGGGACTCTCATAACAGAAACAGGAAAGTTCAAAGTCAACACTGAACCCTTAATGACTACTATGTCTCCTATTGAGATAGCTGTTTCTTCCATCTTTGGTGCTATGCTTCAAAGTTTTCATGTTTTGAAGAGATTAAATAATCTGAATTGATTATCTAATTCTGCTTCTGACAACCTCAACAAGTCAATAGAATACCAGTTTTGGGACCCTTATTCTCTCAGATTAATTATTGGTACTAATAAGGACTATATTATAAGAATGTTTCATAGTTACATTTAAATTTTAAATTTCTTGCTAAATACAATTATGTAATAGTCATTGCAATTTTAAATGAGACTCATTGTAAGAAGATTATGATACTATTAGGGATTTATTATGCAAATAAAATGTCAGGGAAACATTAGTGATTTCAAATATTGGTTACTATCACTATTTCATGATACTGTACCAAAAATATTAGTCAGAAAAATTGGAAATTTGCATCCCTGTCATTTCCAGCCTTTACTCCCCCCCCCCATGTTTCACTTCAAAACTGGGTCATGCTTAATTTCTGCCACTCAAACTCCAGCTTTTGTAGCAGAAAGACTCACTTTCTTCACTACCTTTCAGCAAAAGGCAGATAACCTTGTAAAGTACAATCCAAAGGCCCAATGTTCGGTCTAGTGTCAGATTTAAACAGTTTACAAACTCTCTACCATTTTCCTCTGTGTCAGTAAAGAGAACTGTTATGGGCCAGAGAAGCAAAGCCATCAACAAAAGATGCCTGATGTCTCTTGCACAATAAAACCACGGAAACTGACTCCTTACCATTCCTCATCTGCTCCACCTCGCAAAAGTGTGTTCCCGTGGGGGTGTGGATGAATGCGTGGACATGCTTGACTCCATTCTGAAAGGGAGGACAAAGTGGTTCCCAGTCACACTCCAGCACAAACCACCATAGCAATTTCTTTCAATACACTGGAAACATAAGTGACGGAACCTTTTCCAAACGCTTCCAGGGGACCTCTTCTACGTAGACGTGGGCTCGGGTGACATGGTTAAAAGAAGAAAGGAAGTGTTCACAGATGTTCATAGCAAAGGCCTCTATGCTCTTTATCTGTACAAAGGAACAAAAGAAAGAAACACTGGTAATGTCCATTTTAAAATGTCCCATTTAAAAGACCTGGACTGATTTAATTGTTTCGCTTATATTGAGGTAGCCGCTCACTGACAACATAGCTCGGTTTGACCTGAACGCATGATCTTTCTGCCTATGCCTCATTCTGAGATTATAAACCCCTATATCTGGCTTACAGCATATTTTGTTTTATTTGTTTAAGGTATGGCTTCTCTGTAGCCCAGGCAAGGATCAAGCTCATGGTGGTTCTCCCAAGGGCTGGGATTACAGGCATCCACTGGCAAACCCAGCCAAAAGTAATTGCCAAATGCTCACAGGGGGCTCTTTCCTGATCAGTGGTTTCTTCCAATGAGAGAAACACAGAATTAGAATCTCAGGAGATTGAAATAGTCCGGTCCTGTTTTTCCTCCACTATTCCTGGGTGTGCTCATAGATTCTGATCACCTAGGAAACTCCATCTTGTCATTTTTTATTTTTAAATATTTTTGTTATTTTTATTATATATGTCTTGCCTGCATACATGTGTGTGCACTATGTTCATGGCTGGTGCCACAGTGACTGGAAGGGGGTGTTAGAGCCCCTGGAACTGGCGTTCCAGGTGTTGTGAGCCATGTGGGTGCTAGAAGTGGAGCCAGTGTTCTCTGGAAGATCACCCAGTCTTTTGGCAGATGAGCCACCTCCCCAGAACGGTTCTGTGTTTAAAAGAAGCCTGCTTTGCATGCCAGGAGACACTGGAAGATAAACAAAAAGCAACTTACATCCAGAATCTTCTCTCAATCTGTTTGTAATGCTGGAGCTTATCATGAGGTTTGCAAATGGGCTCCAGTGTTCCCTAAGAAGGTCAGTCTTTAGGTGTGTCTGTGTGAGCATTTCCATAAGGGGAAGACCCACCCGGAATGTGGGTATGCCCATCCCATCTCCTGGGATCCCAGAATAAATGAAAAGGTAAAAGCAAACTGAATGCCAGTTTCCCCACTCTGCTTCCTGACCACACAGAGGATGCCTAACTGCATACACACCTGTTACCAAGACTTCCTACAGCGATGGGCTACCAGCAGTTCTCAACCTGTGGGTCGAGACCCTTTGGGGGTCACCTAAGACCATTGAAAACCATAGATATTTACTTTACAATTCATAACAGTAGCAGAATAACAGTTATAAGGTGGCAACAGAAATTAATTTCATGGCTGGGATCAACACGACATAAGGAACTTTATTAAAGGGTGGCAGCATCAGGAAGGTTGAGAACCTCTGGATTATATGAGCTAAAATAAGCCCTTCGTCCTTCAGCTTCTCCCCCTGCGCCCTGGAGCATGGGGTATTTTGTTGCAGCAATCGGGAAACTAAAACAGGAAGCACAAACTTTTGGACAGTAGATTCTGCTGTTAAGTATTGATCTTATGATCAATATTCTCTTTTACTGTGCCACAATGCCATTTCTGCTGCAAACACACAGTCTAAAAGTGATAGGACTCAAAGAAAAGCACAAAAAAAAAAAAAAAAACATGCTAAATTTAGTCTGAAATTCTCCCACGGCCTTGGCTTGCCCATAGCTGCAATGTGAGGTTAATTTGCCCAGGAGCTTTCTTCCTACCTAATGAGATAAATCAAAAGAATAAAATGAAACAAGCTTTTCTGTAAGCCTGAGAAGTTTAGGGCAGAAAGGAAAAATTTAAAATTGGCATATATGTAAAAATAGGTTAAAAGGAAATGAGAGCTTAAAATAAGCAAGTTCCACCCCCGCGCGGGCTTGCACTGAATTTGCACCAAGCAGCAGCAAGTGCTGAAGCACGATTGTACCCCTTTGAGCTTCGCCAGGACATGCACTGTGTTCTTGATGGTGTCTGTAGGGATGATGTCAGAGTTATCACCACGTAGGTAATCCTTTTTGGATCTCAGAGTCAACTGCACCGAAGTGGCCACCTCTTTGATGCTGTGGTATTTTCCATCCCTGTGAATATGGAGAACTTTGACCATATCCTTCCCATAGCCAGTTCGGACAAATTCCACTTCGTCATTCTGTAACAAAAATATAATTATCTGATTGAAGAAGGCTAATAAGGTTAAAGATGTCCCTTTAGTTTTTCATTTTATCGGACAAAACACTCGTGAAAGTGAAATCACATTCAGCCTTGGCAGACTGGTGTTTCGTAGGGAGAAAGAGGTTCCTGAGAAACAGAACATACCTGGTTACCCCAAGGACAGACAGGCACATGGTTCTCTTGATAACTATTTTAAGCATTTAAAGCATTTACTTTGTTTTGACTCTGTGCGTGTGTGAGAGTTTGTGCAGGTGCCCGTGGAATCCAGATGTGTCCGATCCCCTGAAGCCAGAGTTACAGGCAGTTAGGAACCACCTACTGTGGATGCTAGCGGTTAAACTCTAGTCCTCTGCAAGAGCAGTATGTACCCTTAACCACTCTGCCTCTCTCCAAGCCCCTCTTGAAAATATTTTTTAAAACAGTAATAATGGAAGTTCCCAGGTCTCAGCCCCCCACTTCTCCGCAATGCAACCTCTCCTTGTAACAGCTTTGGGTACTGATATCTTACAGACGGTGGACCAAAATGAAGTGTCTCGCCCCCTTCCTGGAGTTCGTAAAGGCAGAGTTTGTACACGTTCTCAGACCTGTTGACTCTAAACTATGTAGTGGGCCCCATGGAAACCAGCTTTTTTCTAGAGCATTCCATAGCTGTGTTACCTGGAAATAATCCCATGCCCACCCCATCCATTTTTAAAAACAGCGATATTTCTGAGAAAATGCTCTGTGATAATGGAAATAATTTGAGCACTGCTTTTTCTGTTTGCGGCCAGGAAGGAGCAGGGTAATCAGTAATAGCACCCAGAATGCCTCCAGGACACAGAGCCAGGGCCACCTGACTGCAAGCAGAGCTCAGCCTCTGGTGGAGAGACGTGCAACCAAAGGCGGGCGACGCAGTCATGAAGGCCTGCGTTTGAGGCTTAGCTAGTGAAGGCATCCTTTTCTGTGGCTGGCGTGCACCAAACTTGCTGCTGGGTGTTTGTGAGGAGAGGCAGCAGGGAGTGAAGGATCAGAAAACCTTAGAGCTGCGAGTGTAGATACTGAATATGAATGTGGTAAAAGAACAAAAGTAAAGAACAAAAACAGGCAAGAAACCCCTCCTGTTGCTCTGATTTAGGATGCCAAGCACTGTCAGGAGTCACTGCATGAGGAGTCACCAGTCCCTCTGAGAAGAGTTTAGAAATAACGGGGAACATCAAAAATAGTTCTCGCTTCCTTAATGGACGTGAAGAATGAGAGGCCATCTCAGATCTTGGAGATGTAGCCAGATGGGGCAAGCTCTTGTTCACTTAACATATACAAAAGTTCAGGGTGTCATCCAGGATGGGGGACTCTTAGAGATGCACCCCTAAAATCTATGAACCAACTTTGGGGAAACATCTTCAAAACAAGGGTCCGTAAGGTGCTGGGGGAGGTGGCTCGTTTGACAGACTGCTCTCGGCTTCATCCTCAGCACCCCGTAAGTGGGCAGGGTAGTGCATCTGCAGTCGTAGCACTTGGGAAGTGGAAGCAGCAGGATAGGGAGTTCAAGATCATGCTAGGCTCGTTAGGCAGGTCAAGCTCAGCCCGAGAAGCACGAGAGAATGTTAAACAAGTATTCACATGGAGAAGAGGAAGCCAGTAAGAAACGTGAAGAGCTCAGGGTTCTTCAAAAGACTGCAGTAGTGGCAGAGAGGAAGCTGTTGTGTTGTTACAGAAGCGTTGGGCTCTGTCCAGACCCCAGCTCCACCTTGCCACTTGTAGCTTGGTGGCTTGTGACAAGTGATTGAATGTCACTGAGCTGCTGTGTCTCCATCTGCACCAACAGGGATAACCACTGCACCCTACAGGGGGTGCTGGTGACTCTGCCAACTCCAGCTCTGTTTCCAGTGGAAACAGTGCCCATGGCAGGCAGTTGGATGCAGCTGCAGCAGAGATGATGTTGGTTAAGTCTACTGACTTGGGAAGGAGAGCACTTTTGACACCAGAGTGTCTTGAGTCTCAGGAATTCTATCTAGGGGAAGAAAGAACATGGCTGCTTGAGCCCTTGTGATAACACTATGGTGGCTGCCCAGGACCAAAATCTCTGAGCTGATTAATCATCTCTATTAGGGACCTCCTATACCTCCTACACCTCCTAGTCCTTGGCCTCATCTTCTGTCCTTGCATATCCAAGACGTAGTAGCTTAGCTTGTGAGGACGCGGGGAGTCTAGCAGACACGCAGTGGTCTTGAGACACTCCTGCCTGTACCACCAAATACTATCCCCAGTGTCATGTCTGCTCTCAACCCTGCTTACGCTCTGCCTCTGCTGTTCTGAACTCAGTGTGGATCAGATGCTTCCTCTGCCTGTCGACCTCGCCTCTTTTTCAAACCGTCCCTTTCTTCTCACTCCCTGACTACACCAACCTCTTCACCTGCCTTATTTCTTCCTGTCATCCTCCATGTCTTTGCTGTTACTTCCTCCAGATAATCTGTCTTAGTCCTTCAAACACAGAGTAGGTGGCTCTTTTGATGTATTCTTAAGACCCTAGATATGGCCTCTGAATCTTTATCAAATTGTATTGCAAGTGCCTCTTTTTGTATGATTCATTCCAAAGCCATAAACTATGAAAGCAGGAGAAAGTTCTCTCTTGGTTACCATGGCAACTCCAGCACTCAGCACATTGCCTGGATCTTAAATAGGAACTTGATAAATGTGTCATGAATGAATGGATAGTGCTACTAACCACCTCCGCTGCTTGCATGATGACACAGAATAGTTAATGAAAACACACAAAAGATTCCAATACAGGAAGAGTGGGCTCAGTTCTGATGCCATCAAAAAATAGTCCCCTTCCTGAGAAAACAGGAAGAGAAGCATGAACCTTAGATTCAGATGGCCTATGCCAACTGCCAGCTACAGGGACGCGGGCAAGGATTTGTCTGTTTCTTTCATTCCTCCCCTTTTCCATCTATAAAATGGGATAATGGCAGCACGTGCTACATGTAATTGTGAGGTTGAAAGTGGCTGCTCAGAACAGCTAGCATGTAGTATTCAGTGAATGTCAGTTAGCACCATTATCAGGCAGCCAGTGTGTCCAGGAGGAATAGCTGCAATGTTCTGATATCTGTTTCACCCTTGTTCCTTTTTTTTTTTTTGATAAGACAATGATGAGAATCATGTCACATAGGTACCCACCAATCTGAGCTGTTTATATCTACAGATAAAACCACACCCCACCAATATAAATTGAACTTTGGGTGAATCCTAATTGAATAGACACATATCTAAATGAGGTGTGTATTTCCCTTTACCCATGTATGAGCATTCTCCGCTATACATATTTCTCCGTGCCTTCTTTTGATATCAACATTGACATACAAGTGCCAACATGTACCAGACACCGAGTGAATGCTCCCTACTTTCTGGATTTGGAACAAGGTGAAAACAGGTTTATTTCTCTAGCTACACAGCTAAGAATTAACTTCAAGTCTCTGTGGTTTTAAATGCCAATCAGTACCAATCCTCTCTCCCTAGAATGCCGTCTTTATAAATCTCTGTTCTGTCCACACCGGTCCTTGCCCTAAAACATGGGCTCTCCTCTGTGAACTCACAAGCACTAACACTGAGCTTCTTCATTGCACCCTCGTTCTTCCTCGTTCACATATGCACATGTCTTAGTGTTCCCAGGGCCAGCATCTTGAAGGTTAGCATAAACCACCTCTCTGTGTGGCACAGCACTGAATAATGACCTATACACTGCCATGAATGACTTGTCCAAGAAACAAGATTCATCATTTTGCAGACTATTTTGGAAATTTGGGTCATTTTTAGTTCAATAAGGGAAAATCTGTTTTCACTTACTCCCAAGAAACTTAACAAGGCAGCTTCAAGTTCTTCTCAAGTTCCAGAGGAGGAAGAAGGTAGTGCGTAAGCTTACCACGTGAGTCTGCTTTCCTCAGAGGAATTTGTAGCCAGGGCTGGAGACGTGGCTGAGCAGTTATAGCACTGGCTACTCTTTCAGGAGACCCAGGTGCGAGTCTCAGTACCCACATGGTGGCTCACAACTATCTGTAACTCTAATTTCAGGTGATCTGATGCCCTCTTCTGACTTCTGCAAGTGCCAGGCACACACACAGTGCACATAAATGCAAACAAACAAAAGAGTCATATACACAAAACAAAAATAAATTTCACAAAAAATAAGAATTCTTACATGGGAAAATGAGATTGCCTTATGGAACTTAGGAGTTCAAATCATTTTCAGACAATAAGTAAGACAGACCCTTGTGGAACCACACATGAACCTTCTTATTGGATGTTATCTGGAGTTATAATAGTCCAGCAAAATTTATAACAACAAAACCCTCCTCTCTCTCTCTCTCTCTCTCTCTCTCTCTCTCTCTCTCTCCTTTTCAGAGCCCGATTTTCACAGCTCCTTTCAGCTTTCTTCAGGCTTCTATGCTTTATTCTACTCTGCTGCGCTTCAGTCACTGGAATTCTTTATTCTGTTGCCACGGGAAGACACTTTAATTGAGGTTGTTGCTACTGTTGTTATGAATTTTAGCTCTTTACAATATCCAAAAGTAAAGGTTGATGTAGCACGCATGTCTGTTTACATCTTCATAGGATTAGATTTAATGACAGGAAAGCTACTGAGAGAACGGTAGGCAAAGCAAGGAGAGATTTTCATCAATTTAAATCAACTAGAGCTTTCTCTTGAGTCTCAGAATTAGTATAAGGACCCTCTCTACCTTTCACAAGAGAGAGAAGAAAATGTTTGCTATTTTGCATCTAAATACTATAATTCAGTTATGCTGTGGCACATAAGAATTATATAAGAAAACCAATCTCTATCTCTCCTCTCTTTCCCCCCTTCTCCTCCCACTCCCCCTCCTACTCTATCCCTCTTTTCCTCTCTGCCTATTTCCTTGAAATCTGCCAAGGAGAGTCTTCAAATCCTCTAGGTTTCTCCTTCCTTGAATGTTTTCGTGGGCATTCGCGAATATAAAATCTTCAAGGAGGGGAAGGAATGCTGGCTTAATATGAGAAAAACAAGCACTCATATGAACTGTGCTAGTGTCCCCTTCGTGGGCCTCAATACGTACAAATGATAAGAACAATAATACCAAGCGATGGTCTTAGAAGCAGCCGGTGTGGTGGTGGCGGGGCATGTACGTGTCTGTGTGTTTACTTTATGTTTGTTTTGTCCTGCTGCATGGGATCTACTAAATGCATGACAAGACTGTACCGCTTGACCCTGAAGAGTGATTTAGCGATCATGAGGGAGGCGTGCAGCCCGTTCAGAGCTGACCCTCGTGGATGTTTCAATAGGAGAATACAGTCTCACTGCATATTCATGGTGAAAAGGAAGGGTAACTGACCCATGACTCACTGCAACTCCAATGCGGGTGCTCAGTTACTTTCATTCTTTTGCCCGGCACGAAAAGTACCAAGAGAAATGCCTCGGGGGAGGAAACCTGGAAGAAGGGGTCCAGGAACTTCTAGAATAGGGGTGAGAACCATCGCAATACAGAATTGGTAGCGACATCTGATACAGACTGGAAGGAGATGTGTTGAACCTTATACACTGAAAGTACCAGGACGAGGCTTGCAACAACCATGTGCTGTGGGCCTGATACATGGCAGGAAGCGTGTGCGTGTGGTTCCCTCTAATTCTCCACTAGAGCCCCAGGAATACATATTGGAGTCCATTATTGAATAAGGAAGCCTCTGGAGCCAATCAGGTAACCTTCTCAGTATATACACCGTCAGGGGATAGAGAGACAAAGTAAGAGCCATATGCCATCAAAGGACAGGTTTTTTGTTTTTTTTAACCCTTTATCACAATCCCTTAGTCTGCTTGGCAGTCCTCTTTGGAGTTGAACTCATGAGTGAGAGGAAGAACACACTAATCCTGACAGGGAGAGAACTGGCCATGCTACCAGACGCTCACAGCTGCATAGCATTTTATCATCTAACTCTCCACCCGCTGCACCTGGCGACATCTTTCCTCAGCCTCACAACAGCTCCGTGAGCTGGCAGCCAGGAATCCGTCCTGTAAAATAAACTGGCTCCTAGATGTGCAAAAGCTGCCCAAGAGGCATGGGGCAGACTGGGAATGGAGACTGGACCATCCTAGGCAAAAGCTCACCAATCTCAAGATGTGTCCCTTCCCACATCCTCCTTTTAACTGCCGGGAGACTCTGAACTCAGCTGGATTCTGTTGGCATGGGTGTATTGACGCATGAGGAGAATTCAGTGGTAGCAAGCACTCTCTGGAGTAGTCAGCGGGCTGTGCCTTCAGCACCAGGCACTGGCCATTCGAGGCGAATGTTGACTTTCACCTGAGTTGGGACCAGGGAAAGCAGCAATGATGCGAGCCTACCAGCAGCCATTTAACACCATCGTCCCCAGGAGCTGCTGGCTTTAGTCTATATGGAAGAGAGAGGAAATGCCTGTGCTAGAAAGAAAGTGAGAAGGGACCAGAAGTCACTGGCACCGTTCCTCTGGCCTCTGAGAGGCCTCTGTGAGGGGACAGGCGAGTCCCAGTTTCCAGAAAGACAGCAGATACTCGTGAGGTGAAAACCACACAGCTGCTGAGATGCAGAAGCCATGTGGGATGCGGGCAGCCGGGTTCTCTTCCCTCCAGCTGCCTCCCAGACTTGCAAACATGGGTAGTGAGATTCTGAGGGTGGAGTTTTCCCTGCTACTTTATTGGTTTCTCTCATTAGCTTTAATTCATTGTTTCTTTTAATGTATTTTTCAGATTTATTTATGTTTATTTTGTGCATATGAATGTTTTGCCTGTGTGTATATATGTTCAGCACATGCACTCCTGTTACAGAGGTCATGGGATCCCCTCCAACTGCAGTTACGGAGAGTTGTGTGCCACCATGTAGATGCTGGGAACTGTAGCCAGGTCCTCTGTAAGAGCAGTATGTGCTTTTAGCCACTGAGCTGCCTTTCCGTCCCAACACTTCAAGTTTGCCCGTTCGTTTCCACCCACTTTGTGTGTTCCCAGAGCTATACTGACTTAGATTTGTGTAGGTGGAAAACCGTGTGACATGCTTAGGAACACAAGGGTGGACAAGGCAGACAGTGTTCCATCCTTGTAGGAATGCTGTGGAAGAGCATTCTCCTATGAAGAATCAAAAAGCCAATACTCCGGGCTTTTTAGGTGGTGTTCAGCGACTCAGTTCTGTCGTTATTGCATAAGCGAAACTACATACAACCCATACAGCAATGGGTACAGCTGTGTGACAGTAAACCTTTATAAAAACAGTCAGTGGGCCAGATTTAGGAGTTTCCCGCTTGTATCCAGGAACTTCTAGAATAGGGGAAGACGCAAAAAAGAAGCAAGCAGGTATGTTAATCATGCTAACGGAAGCTGTAGAGTGAGCTCTGCTGACCTGTTGTGGGGACGCCAAAGCCAGAGTGGGGGAAGCTTCCGGTAGAAACTGGCATTCCAACGCAGCATGGAGGTAATTGGAACCAGCCTGATCCACAAATCCACTCTGCCACTGAGGGTGCTCTCCTTAACCATGTCCTTCATGAGCTTTTCTTGGCCTGTGTTTTCTTGACTTGTCTCTTTTTAGCAACAATTCAAAGCCTCTTCCTTTACTCACACTGCAAGCATCGACTTTCCTCCAGTCTGCCACGCTCTAGACTCCTCTCAGTCTGTCAGCAGACTTCGAAACTCTGCTCAGAGAGAAAGCTATCCTTAAACAGACACATCTCATGGGATGTAACTCATACTCCAAACATAAATAAAGCCAGCAGCTTGACTCACGGGAGCCCTGGCAGATGACTGTATTGCCACCAAGTCTGCAGCTGCCAGAGGCTGAAAAGCCCCAACTTTATTCTTGTACCTTACATTTTTTTTTCACAGACAAATTTGCAAGAAATGTAAAGTACAACCCAAAGGGAAAAGTATACACCAGTAGGAAGGTGTCAACAATGAACGGCAAAGTCAGCCCCAAAGCCTAACCTGCCCATACGAACGAGTAGAATTAGATGCAAGGCTTAAGATGATATACTTAATGTTTTGACAGAAATAGACAGTTGAGCATGGAGAAAATAAAATAAATATTAAAAACTTCATTTGAAAGAAATAAAACTAGGGAGCCAAAGGAGATTCAGCAGGCAAAGTCCTTCTCACACAAGCCTGAGGACTACAATCACATCTCCTCCACCTGCACGCACACACACACACACACACACACACACTACAACAGACATGGAAAAAATGAAAGAGTCTAACAATTAACAATCAGGTAAGAATCTGCTGAACACAGTTCAAGAAATAATCGGTTATTTTGGAAAGATAGAATAAGTAACAGATTAATTTTCTAAAAAGATCTAGAGGTGGAAAACCTAGAATGGAAAAGAGCCAAATAAAGAATCAAATGCTGGCACTGGAAAACGGCTCCATGGATAAGAGCTCTTGAAGCATTTGCAGAAGAGCTGAATTCACTTAGTGGCACCCATGTCTAGTTGGCCATTGCCACCTGTCGTCTCCAGCTACAAGGAGATCAAAGCCTCTGTCCTCTGAAGATGCTGTACCCATGTGCACACACAGATACACACAATTAAAAATAAAAATACAGCATGTCTACAAATCACCAAGGGCTAATGCAGACACACAGGAGCTGAAATTCCTGAAAGATGAGAAACATGAAGGGCTGAGAAAGATGGGGTGAAAAAGGCAACTTTTCAAAAATATTGGGACTACAGCTTTTCAGCGTTCTTGGGAGAATGAATGCAAAGTCAGCCCACTTCCAGGCAATGAGCTCCTCCATGTTTACTCCACTTGGTCAAGTTGAAAAGGAAGCAATGTCTACTGTTTTGACAAATCCTCAGGCTGTGAAAGACTGTGGTGGTTCCATGCTATTATACAATGTGCCTTCCAAAGCAAGCGGTATCGTGAAAAGCCTTCTGTCCTGTTTGTATTTTCCTCATTCTCCCAACATGTAGGTTTCTTTCCATAGTAACACTTTATTGGTTTTAGTAAAAAGAAACAAATGGGGGAGGGGAGATATATTGGAGTCTAGGAATTGGGACCATGTTGGAATCCCCGGAAACCCTCAAAGCTGGTTACAGCGTTCAATCATGAAACGTTTGCATAAGGACGGTTGTTTGCTGAAGGACAACCACATGGTAGAGTCAGCCACACCAGCAAAGAAAGTTTATTAAAAGCGTCTTTCCAGACCTTGAACTGAAATTGGATTTATCAAAAGCCACCCAAATACAGCTGTCCTTTGGCCTACTCGCAGGAAGGTAGGAACAGGCTTGGCTAAAACTTAAGGATCCCTCACTCATATATCACCACCATCCTGCCCTGTATATGACAAGGAGAAAAAAAAAGCAGGAACTCTTCTCTAGCCTATTCGGAAAAGCTGCCTTTAGGTCACATAAATGAAAATGATTTGCTCATGTTAGCTAAGTGATTCAACAAATGCTATACTTGATTGCTCAATTGCGTAAGTTTCATAAAATAAAAGATTTAAATTATAGTAATTTTTCTTTTAAAATAAACATCACACCGCGAATATGTTTATTGTTTGCAGCTATTGAAATCATTTTCTGCACACAATTATAACCTACAAAGCAAAATGCAGAAATGGTGAGAAAACTGTTTCTTGGTCTAGTTGATTCTTACTGCCCCCTTTTAGAAAGCTGTTGGTCTCTGGATGTCACATCTGCTAGGCCTCAGGGCAGTGGGCTTAAATTTTATAATGCACCTGCACTAACAATAAACTTATTTAAACTGTAGGCTCTGGGAGCCTAGAGAAGGTGGCTCAGTCCATCAGTGCTTGCCACACAGCATAAGGATCTGAGTTCAATACCCCGGAGCCCACATTTTTAAAAGCTAGCCACAGTGGCAAACATCTGCAATCTCAGCACTGTCAAGGATGCCTGGGGCTTGCTGGCTAACCAGCCTCACCAAATTAGATAACACCAGGCCACTGAGAAACCTTACCTTTAAAAATTAAGATGGAATGATTGAGGCAAATACCCAACATGGACTTTCAACCGCCACCCAGAAGCTCACATCCATACACACATCACAGGTTCCTGGTCCAGCTTCAGGAACTCTGATTCTAAGATAAGGCCCAGAATTCTTCCCTTTTACTGGTACCCCGGATCATGTGAGTTCTGTCAGTGGCTCCATAGTGCTCCTCAATCCTCTGCCTTGGGATAAATAGATCCACAAGCCCTCCCTTCCCTACAAACTGAAGAACACCTGCTAGGCTAGTCCATAGAAGCAACCTGACCATCAAGTTATTGTATGGGCTGGCTCTCCAAAATGACTCTGGTCTGAATCCATAATCAAGGAGAGGGATGAAGCAGAGTCACCACGATTTCCAGGCATAAAGTGAACTGCCACTTAGCATGACAGCTAAACAGGAATTCATGGGTAGGCAAAGACATTCCTTGCAGATGTCTGTATGTCTGTCTATTCTCCCCCTCTCTCAGGATGGGGCAGCTCACCTTTTCATAGTCGTCATGGTAATGGGCCATTTTCCTTCAGCCTTCAACTCTAACCTCAGTTTCAGGAGTGAGAAAGAATGGCAAGAGTTGATGAGAGGTTGGTAGTTTTTATTTATCCCCAAAGAGTAGGCGGTTAATATTGACCCTGATTGCACAGCAGACCCATGGCCTTTTTTAAAGCCAAGCTCCTTGCTGAGTGGCCAGAACCAGGGGTGTGGGGAAGATATGTCAATATGTTTTGCTAAAATGCAATTGAATTTGCTCTTCATTTAAAGCGACCTTCGGAGCACTGTTTCAGAAATTACTTAAGGCAGGGATTATTGTAGGTGACAGATCCTAATTATTAACAAGGCATGAGGTTTTGTCATTTCTAATGTATGAATCACACGCATTTACGCTCACGGCTAGTCAATCAGAAGAGAAAAGAAACACCGAATATACCTCACTCAACATCTACTTGTCAAGAATTCTTGTTCCTATGCACTTCACACTCTAATTCACTCTGGAGTTAACTACATAGGTTAGCAGCTTAAATACCCCTTTCCCTCCAGACTTTTCTATGACTTTGCAAACTAGTCAATAATCGAGCACAAAGGCACCCAGAGTCACACTGGAATGTTGTGACAGGACCATCAGGTGACATGGGACTCAGCCTCTTCTGTTTATGTCCGAACAGTGAACCGCGAAAGAGAATAGAGCCCACATCTGAGCCAGCACGGCCTAAGAAAGACTTGACAGAGTCAAGATAGAAAATGACAGCAAACCCTCTAAGAACAGCTCTTGCTTTGCTCCTCTTTGCCCTCTCTGGGGTCCCGGCCATGGCAGAAATCTCTTGCAGAAGTGAAAATGGTGAACCTGTGGACTGGTAGGTAAATGCAATGGGATGATGGGTGTGTGAAAATAGAAAGTTGGGGCATGTATGTGGTGAGCCTAAGGAAAACTTCTGCCTGCCTTCCTCCCTTTAAAGAGCCACAGGCTGGAGCTGAGGATATGGCTGAGCTGACAGAATGCTTGCCTAGCATGCATGAAGCTCTCAGTCCCCAGCACCGCATAAACTGGATAGGATGGGACACACTGTAATCCCAGCAGAAGCATTAGGAGTTCAAGGCCATCCTCAGCAGCAAAGTGAGTTTTAGGCTAGCTTGGCTTAGATGAGAGCTTGTTTTAAATAGATACTTCTAATTGTCTGGATGCTGAACGTTACTGTTTCTGATTCTAATTGGATACTGGATATTACTGTTTTAGTTTCTAATTGGATACTGGAAGTTATTGTTTCAGTTTCTAATTGGATACTAGATGTTAATGTTTCAGTTTCTAATAGGATACTAGATGTTACTGTTTCAGTTTCTGATTGGATACTAGATGTTACTGTTTCAGTTTCTGATTGGATACTAGATGTTACTGTTTCAGTTTCTGATTGGATACTAGCTGTTACTGTTTCAGTTTCTGATTGGATACTAGCTGTTACTGTTTCAGTTTCTGATTGGATACTAGATGTTACTGTTTCAGTTTCTAATTGGATACTAGATGTTACTGTTTCAGTTTCTAATTGGATACTAGATGTTACTGTTTCAGTTTCTAATTGTTTGGATACTGGACCTGAACAGTACTTTTTCAGCTTTATTCACCTCTTAAATAAGTCAAGAATATCTTTGATGCTTTTAAATAATAAATAAATAAATAGATACATAAATTAATTAATCAGAAAGAAAAGGACTTGATGTGTGCCCTCAATCCCCAGGTAGCGTTGGTTGCTGAGTGGGTGAGTTGCCCCTGAGAAAGCTCCAAACAGTTCTCTGGAGACTCAGTCAGTGCTCTTGGGGGCCGTGGCAGAAAGAGACTGAGTGGCCGTTAGGTAGCACACAGCCCAGAAGGCCTCTTGGAGCCTCTTTAACATTGGGCTATGCTTTGAAAATAATTAAGAAGTTGTTTTAAAAATGCTATGGAGACACTATGGCCTCTCAGGCCAATGGAGGAACAAAGGATTAGTGCAGAATCAGGAGGTGACAAGGAAAGTTTGGTGTCACACTGCTTGACACTGAGGAGGATGTGCAGAGGGGTCTGCTGGTGAAACTACTGTGGGAGGTGGAGGCCAGGCTTTGCAGACTGTGCTTTGGGATTTGAACCTGATACTGAAAGGAAGCTACTTAAGGACTTGGAACAAGATTGAGATGTGATTCAATGTGTGGCAATAGGGCAAAATACAGATGGTTAGAATCAGTCAAGAACCACAGAGTAAAAAGACTTCCACAGTATCACAGGCAAAGGAGACCACAGTATGTACAGACCTCAGGTAAAGAGGTGGAAGTGGACACAGACGCACGAGAATAGCCTGTAAGGATGGAAGGTGGGGAGGCAGCTGGGGTGGGTAGCTTTTGAGAGTAGATTTTCTGTAATAGCATAGGATGAATAGGTTTGGCCACAGTATGTACAGACCTCAGGTAAAGAGGTGGAAGTGGACACAGACGCACGAGAATAGCCTGTAAGGATGGAAGGTGGGGAGGCAGCTGGGGTGGGTAGCTTTTGAGAGTAGATTTTCTGTAATAGCATAGGATGAATAGGTTTGGTGAAAAATACTATGAACCTGGTTTCAAAATGTGGTGCTGGACACTTCTGGCCATTCTTTTGTCTAGGTATCTAACTCAACCTAGACTTCTAGGCTAGAAACTGCATACAGAAATGGTCACCCAGGAAAAATGACTAAAAGTACCACTATCACCTAGGTGACCATGGTGTGGTAACAATCTTCAGTTGCTCTGCTGGGGAGGGGAAAGGATGCCAAATTGTGATTGGTAGATTTTTTTATCCACAACTGAATGGGTTTATTTCTCAGTAGTACATGTCAAAAAGACAGGCATAGCTGCTTAGCAGAGAAATTGCTGACCCATCCCAAAGTCAGTGTATCTCCTTCCACATGTGAGGACTTGGACCTGTGTGTGGATAAGAAGGCAGAGCACTGGAACCGAAGTCTAAGTCTGCAGAGGACCATTTGAGGGTTGTGGTGCTCTTGGACAGGCTGTTGCATTATGATGGTGTATGTATTGTGTTTGGCTCGCTGAGTCTCTTGGGGTTAATTACAGGGTCTCATGTTGTTATTATGCATTTGGTTAGAACAATAGTTTTAAAAGTATGGCAAATTTGCTCTTGGGGGACTTTTGACAAGGTCTAGAGACAGTTTTGATGGCTACAACGTTGGATTACTATTGACATCTATAAGGAGGATGCCTACAGGACACAGGCCAGCTCAGTAAGAATAGACCTTGGTCACAATGGGACTAGAGCACTCGAGAAAGCCTGGCTTTTCTGGGGTGACCCAAGGCTGGCTGAACATTACATAGGTCCAACCACTTGTTCTCACGGTGAGCTATGCAAAGGACAGAACAAACGGAATGACCACAGACACAGGAAGAGGCCTGCTTCAAACCCTTAATGAGCAAATCTTCCATCTAGAACATTCTGATAAACTGAGCTGTAGGAAGTTGCTCAGGACCAACTGCAGGAAAGGCTCCACCCAAGATAAAGCTCACAACTAGAGCTTATAGTCAACTGACTAACCCTCAAGAGACCAGGAGCTAAGCACTGTGGCAAGAGTGACCCCAAGAAATGCAGAGTGAATCGCAGACCCAGACCTTAGCCTTCTCTCCTCTGTGACCACTGGGGCCATCGGGCTATGTGGACACCAGAGAGACAGACTTACTATCAACACATATGAGCTTTGATTCCAGGGGCCCCAGCAACTAGGCCAGCTGATATCTTAGATTCTAAGACTTAGAACTTACTACCCACCCCAACCTTGCCTTCCTGGGGAAAAAGGTAAAAACAGGGACAGAGAAATGGACAGAAGCCTTGAGTAGTCCCTTTGCTCAGAGGCCTCCTATGAAACACAGTGAATGGTTTATTGATCTGGGTAACACAGCCTGCCAGCAGGAAATCAGACAAATGCTAACAACTCTGAACTATTTGCTGTGTTAGGGTTATTTTTTATAAGGTGCCCAAAGTGTTTCAGAAGAACAGGACAGGGCTGGAGTACCTGTACCTAGACTCCTTAACAAGAAAATGGATGAAGAGCAACCATCTGATCAACAACAACAAAAGTATTTTGGGAAGGACCCTGGAGCCGCTATATGAAGCATACAACTCCAAGGTAGGGTACAGTCTATCATTTGTGGAGATCATAGAAAGGATATAAACAATCTAAATCGTCATCTGAAATCATCTTTGAAATATAAATATATATATTGAACACACCCCCCTAACCCCTAACTGTAGAAACTTGAGATAAACTCACTCAGAACTAGGCCAGGACAACCGAATCAACCTGACTAAGGCTTTAAGAAATACATCATCATACTCTATACCAATGCTAAGTTGTCAATTTGCTTTGTTAAAAACAAAGAATCATCTCAGTAACATATGAAGGAATATGCAGACTAGGCAAAAGCAGCCTGGCAAGGCAATCCTTTTAAGGAAAAGGGTGTGCTGAGACCCAAACTGGGCTAGCCAGCATACTTAGACAAGGTGGCATCCATCTTATATCTGTGATGAGATAGCAACCATGTCTCATCCTATCGGTGGGAACTCAACTTCACAACCTGATGCAATTAGTTAATCAGTGCAAAGGGAACCAGGGAACCAGGAAGGTTCAGGAAATATAAATCCTTGCTAAGCTAACTACCTTTGATTAAAACAAACAAACAAAAATTCTCACAATGTGGCACCAAGTATAATAGCATCACTAGGCAAGAAGTGAAATGATGGCTTCCCGAAGTCTTCAGGCTGTCAGATCTCAGCCAACTCGCTCAGCACGTCCTCTCTTACGGATGGGGTATGAGTCCTGTCCAGCAGCCAGGGGTCTGTGAGCATCAGGCCTTGAGTTTGGGCTGTTTGAATCATGGTGTTGATGAGTGCTAGTGATCCAAGGAAAAACTCTTCTGGGTTTTCCTTTGAATTAATTATTTTCAAAACAGTAGTAGGATGCCACCTATGGCTTTAGCTTCAGGGTCCTAGACCTGACTTATCTGAGTGGAGATGAAGCCAACAACCTGGACTTCAAGGTAATGAACTGACTAAAGACAGATTAGATTAGCAGGCAGGTCTACTGCATCAGTGTGGCCAGCTCCACAGTGTTGCAGGATCCATCCATTCCGTGCTTTCCAGACATGGAAGGCAGGTAATACCAAGCAGTAACCCACCCATAGTTCTACTCCACAAAGACATTCCCTGACAATAGTTTATGGGTGTGTTTAAAATGACTTCACTGAGCAGTGGTGGTACACACCTTTAATCCCAGCACTTGGGAGGCAGGGGCAGGCAGATCTCTGTGAGTTAGAGGCCAGCCTGGTCTACAAGAGCTAGTTCTAGGACAGGCTCCAAAGTTACAGAGAAACCCTGTCTTTAAAAACAAACAAACAAAAAAACAATAAACAAATAAAAATAAAATTAAATTAAATCAATCTCTCTATCCTATGCTAGGTCCCCTCCATGAATGCATTCCCTGAAAACACTTTATGAGCATGTTTAAAATGACTGTGTCTACAGTGTGGTAGGTTCTTGGCTTTTCACCTGTTAAATACTTTAACACTCACAACAACAAGACTGTTTTAGCTTCTAGTACTGCCACCCCAGTCTACCTGAGTCTACCTGAACATTCTCTTAGGAGACATCACTGTGTGTGTGGTGGTGGTGGGGTGCTTGTTTTATTCGTCTGCTATTAAAAGCAACCTCGAAGCAAAACTGTACAGTTAAAACAACTCCAAGCCCTGTGGCGAGTGCTTTTCAAAATAATTTCATCTCAACAGCAACCCAGTTTTGAATAAACAGGCTATCATGTAAAATGAAGAAGAAATCCAGTATCACACATTGAATTTCACCACCTTTTCTAAGTGTCAATGTGGCCCTAAGAAATGGTTTGGGAGAAAATGACGCTCACATGAGAGAGGAAGGGGAGAGAGAAATGAGGAGTCCTAATTAAATACAAAGCTACATGAAGGCAGTGAGGCACGACCCAGGCAGAGGCAATGAGATCCCAGCGACACGCTCCACTCTGCACCTATAACATCAGTGGGAAAAACCCCAGGTGTAACCTTTGGCTGGTTGTCCCAGCTTTACTTCCTGAACAAACAATTCTGCACCCTTTGATCATGCACTGCTTGCTTAATCAAATCCCTGCTTCCAAAACAACCAAGGGAAATGGAAGTGTCATCCTCACACACAGACCACATAGGGCTCCTGTCACATGAGGCTAGAAGAGCCAGGCAGTGGCACATGCCTGTAATTGGGAGCTGAGGAAGAGAAGTCAGGTGGCTCCCTGAGGTTTGCTGGCCAGTCAACCACTCTACTGAGCTAGGCTAGTTCTAGGCCAGGAATAATACCCAAGGTGTTGTCTAGCTCACACATACACACACACACACACACACACACACACACACACTGCACACAAATATGCATGTACACATATACACATAAAATCTGTATGAGTGAAAACGGGCTTCTCTCCTCCATCTCGCATGTCACAGACTTCATGTTCCTGTGGATAATTTCTCATGTGTCCTAATGAAAGCTCACTGCTGCAGCCTGGGAGGCTGATAGAAATGGTGAGAGTAATTGAAAATAGAGGACTTATGCCATTATAACCCTCATGTATTCCCACAGAGCAATAACACAGCCTATCTAATCTACAATGACGGTGTCCCTAAGTCTATGAATTACAGCAGAAAGTATGGACATACCAAAGGTAAGTCAGGGGTTCTTGCCTTGCCTTTCCTATTGGGAATCAACATTTTCTTAAGCCTTTCCTCTTTAATTTCCTCATATTCCACATTAAAAAGACAGCTTTTGTTTTTATGATTCATCCCGACTTACTGAGGTATGATTTCTTTATAGCGCTTTACAAAATAATTAGATGACTTGACATTCCAAAGCCCTTTTCAGAAATCCCAGTTTATTTCTTACCATTTAAAAAAATGTGCTTTAAAGTAATCACGCCAAGTACTGGTCATTCAAATACATATGTGCATACATAAGTCATATATACATATGTTCACATGCATGTGTGTGTATATATATATATGTGTGCGTTTATATATACATATGTATATATACATGGACACACACCAGCAAGGATATAATGGGGGGGTGGGGGGTGTATGAGAGAGAGAAGTATATGTACACACTTTTTAGTTAGGTTTTGTTGATTTTCATTTGTTTCATTTTTGCAGGCCAATCAATTTACCACTGAGTTATACCCCCAGACCATTGTATAAAATCTGCCCAAATTGCTCAAGCTAGCCTTGAACTTCTGATCTTCTTGTCTGGAATTCCCATGTTGCTAGGATTATAGGCTTATGCCAGGCTTATGGAAGTTTACCCAGCTATATTTGCTTTGAATAAAATTCATTCTACTAAATGTGCAACTCCATTTAAAATAAACACTTAAAAACATATCCTTAAAGTTTTTCTTGCTAGTAACATAGTGCTTTGCTACATATTGTTTCTTGATCAAGGAATTCTCAATATAGTAACCTTTGTTATTTTTCATTCACAGACCATCCATAAGTGTATGTATGTGTTAGAGAAAAATTTAAATGTAGATAAACAAAAACAAGTAATCCTAATACTCAGTAGATTATAAAATATTATAAATATTATTTTTCCAACTCAGTTCAACTTCATATATCACAAATAACTTCTATGGTAATAAGTATTCTCCAGAATGTTCCAAACCCTAATATCTTCAAAGAAAGATACATAAGGTCAGCAGGTGACGTGGGACTGAGCTATCAGGAAACTGGAAAGTACTTATAATGTCTAGCAAGGACACCTATTACCCTGAATTATATGGATGCAATTTTTCAGAGATGCTAAAAATTAGTGTTTTAGGAGGAATTTTAAATTTTAATGATTGGCAGGGAATAAATTCAGACTAAACAATATGCAGCAAACCTAATATATCATCAAAGTGTATTTGGTCTTAGGGCAGCCAATTTTCAATATCTGACTAAGAATATAGTGTATATCCAGGCATAGTCAAAAATACTGAAGAGGCTGAGGCAGGGACACTGGAGCTAGCCTGAGCTACAGTGTGAGACTCTGTCTGCTCCTTATCCATCCCTGAACACAAATCATTTGTGATGCCCATCAAACGCTGTGGAATTGAAAGCTTTGGTGACATTGCTGCCCTCATGATAGCTTTGTTAGCACAGAACACAGTGGTGTTTAGAACATGCTATATTTTCCATCCTCACCCCAAGGGGCCTCTGACCCTTCCTTTTCTGACCTGCTATTTGCAGCAAGGATTTGGGGAGTTTAATGTGTAGTTGGGGTTTTGTTTGATCTAGAGCTCCACTCATACCCAGGAGGCTGTGATAGCAAGGTAGTCACCTCTGACAGCTTCCACTGTGGTATACTTTCTCTAGGTATAGAAAGCAAGTCAACAGGCATTTGAATGGACTTGCTGGCGTGTTCCTGTGGGCCTGGAAGCTTTGGATAGCCCATCATATGTTTATAAACATGGAAAGTGTTTTGGATAAGGGCCTTTCTGCCATGTCACAGGCTGCCTTTGTGGCTTTCATCTTAGTAGGGCTCTTGAGACTTTTGAAAATCATGCTCAACAAGGATGCTTTTGCATGCCTACCTAAACATGCTAAACAAGGATGCTTTTGCATGCCTACCTGGTTTTGCTTTGTCTCTTTTAAATAAGGTCTGTAGAAATTGGGTGACCCTTCTCCAGCAAATGAGCAGCTGTCTTTTAAAACCCAGTGCTACCAGCACCCCCCTCTGTTTGCTATAACTTCTTTTAACTGGCTTTTAGCTGCTCACAGGTGAAGACTCCAGCGGGAGCTTGTCAGGTACTATGTATGCTTAACAAGAGCTCCCCTCTTCACAAAGTGTCCTCCCTGGCTCCCCTTTTCAATAAGGGGACACCATGATGTGTGCCTGGCTTGTTATTGAAGTCCTTGAAATAGGAGTAAGATCATTCTCAAGAGCCTAAGAAACCCTTAGGTAGGCTTCAGTACCACAGTTTTGAAATGTATTTTGAGAGGAGGTCTTCTTTCTAACTTCTCCAAATCAAATGTGTCTTTTGTTTTTGGTAGGTCTACTTGTATGGAACAGAATCCAGGGCATCTGGCTGATTCATTCTGTTCCCAGGTTTCCTCCACTTCCGGAAGATGGCTATGATTATCCATCCTCAGGGAGACTTTATGGACAAAGTGGCATCTGCATAACTTTCGAATACAGCCAGTATAAAAAAATAGGTAACCCTGGAGCTTATGTAAAGGGTCAATGTGTTGACGAAGGAAGCAGGAGCCATATAAACAAGGGTGCCGCTTCTTCTATTAATCTGTTCGTAGTCCGTCTGGTGCCTAGATTCTCCTACTGCCTCTGCTGGGTGAAACCTTGAGCAGGATCCCTTACCTAGCCTCAGTTCCTGGTCTGTAAGTGACATTGTTGAACTCTACCAGGGAAAGAATTTCAAATTAATTTGGGAGCCAGGTAAGTAACAAAAAAAAAAAAAAAAAAAAAAAAAAAGGGTGAGGCCGACCGATGTTGCACAAGTACTGGGGACAGTGACAAACTTAGGTATTGACCTTCCGTTGGATGCCTTCAGAGGCCTCAGTGCTATCATAAATACACAGAAACAGGAAATTACTGATTAGAGATCTCTGTACTTTACATGAGGAACTAGATTGCATGCGTGCGTGCGTGCATGTGTGTGTGTGTTGTGTTGCATAAGAGACAAACCCCTGTTTTTAGATATAGACTCAATGTCAGTTTTTTAAAAATTTCTTCAGAACAAATATTGCCTTCATATTCCCAAGATCACACCTCAGCCATAGATAAACGTCTTCTAAGATCTCATGCTCAAATAGCCCAAAATACTTTTATTTGGCAAACGACGGTGTGGAGGTTAGAGAAGACGTAGTGTGTTTGAGCTTCAGGTACGGGAAGCTTAGAAATGTTTCTCACCCAGTTTCTCTTGAGCTCTGTATTAGTATAGACCAATGTCTTAGACTTCTTAATGCGACAACTCTCTAACACAGTTCCTCAGGTCGTGGTGACCTCAACCATAAAATTGTTTTAGTTGCTACCTCTTAACTGTAGTTTTGCTACTGTTATGAATCATAATGTCAAAATATGAGATACATGATATCTGATATGCAACCCTGTGAAAGGGCCATTTGATCCCAAAGGGTTGCTCTCCAAGGGTGGAGAGCCACTGGTCTAGACTCTAGGCTAGATTCTTGAGGGACAAAAGTGACAGAATGAATACGTATCTACTTGATATTTAGTACAGTAAATACATATCTATATGATATTTAGTACAATGAATACATATCTACGTGATATTTAGTACAGTGATTTATAGCTAATCCGACATTGGCTGCTTACCAATGGGAAGGCTAAGAATCCAGTAGTTGTAGGTTGGTTTTCTTTGCTTTATGTTTAAAAAACACTTATGAGTGAGTACATGTGATAATTGTCTTTCTGTGTCTGGGTTACCTCACTCAAAATGATGTTTTCTAGCTCCATCCATTTTTCTGCAAAATTCAAGATGACCAGCCTACAAATCACAATCCCAGAGAACTTAGACAACCATGAGGACACTAAAAGAGACTTACATAGATCTAATCTACATGGGAAGTAGAAAAAGACAAGATCTCCTGAGTAAATTGAGAGCATGGGAACCTTGGGAGAGGGTTGAAGCGGGGAGGGGAGAGGAAGGGAGGGAAGCATAGAAAAACGTAGAGCTCAGTAAAAATCAATAAAATAAAAAGAATCCAGTTGTTGTTCAGACCATAAGGCTGAATGTCTCAGGTAGTCTTCATTACATGCCTGAACTCCAAAGAACTAACCTATAATTTCAGCGAAAGACTAAACTGGATATTGAGAGTTAATGCAAGCAGGCAAAGAGCAGAAGCTTCTTTCTTTCATGCCCTTTAGATAGTTTGCCACCAGAAGGTGTGGCCCAGATTAAAAGTAGATCTTCCCGCCTCAAAAGATCCAAGTTAAAGGTTGGGTGTTCCCACTTCAAATGACTTAATTAAGAAAAATCCCTCACAGGTGGACACAGTCCCTTGGCTTCTGGGCAGTTCCAGAGGTAGTGGAGCTGCCAATCGAGCCCAGCCATCAGGGCTCTGATCTGATCGTCATATGGCAGAGTGTAGAGCTCTACAGGGATGAGGTGTACAAGGAGTTGATTATTCTTCAAGCTGAATGTTCGGCACTGGGAGTTCTTTACCTTCATATAGCACACATAGGAAAGAAAGCAGGTGGACAACAAGGCAGGGTTATGTAGGAATGAATTTCAGCTCTGCATCTGCAAGCTTTATAATCCCAGGTATGTGGCAGAGTCTCAGTTAATTCATCTCAAAAATGAGAATGGTGGTAGCAACAGAATTTACCTAATAATTACATGAGTTAGATAATTATTAGGTAAATTAGAATTTACCTAATGATTAGATGAGGATGACATAAAACAGCCTGGGGAGAGGGTTTGGATAAACTGATTGCCAGGCCCTGAATTTAAATCCCCAGAATTCACATAATCTAACAGCAATGCACTATAACCCCAACACCCCTACCACAAGAAGGAAGCAGAGACAGGAAAATCTCCAGAAGCTCATGGGCCAACTAGCCTTGGGTATGCCATGCCAAAATGCAGGGAGACCAAGCCTTAAATAAGGCAGAAAGGAAGAACTGACACCCGAGGCTGTCCTCTGACTGCCATTCCTGTGACATGGCAGGCACATGCGTATATGTGCACACATCATAGGTGCATATATGCATACATATAAACATTATATACCCCGCCCCTCCAAAAGACTAAAAATGACATAAAGCCATAAAAAATATGGAGAGTAGGAAATGTTCAATATGCTTCAATTACTTTAACCACAAGGCATTTGAAGGCTGTTGCTCTAAAAGGGTGGGAGGAATATATGCTTGGGGAATATTTTGTTTCTGTATTTCAATCCACACAAAAATCCATAATATCAGTATTTCTATTAGTGCTTAAATTCTCAGCCTTTCTTTATTGTCTCTCGATTTAGATTTTCAGCTCTTTGTCTCCCAACCAAACATCTACAGCTGCTCCATCCCAAACATCTTCCATCAAGAAATCGTCCATATGACTCATATGTGTGCCAAGTCCGGCTCCTTAAACATCCCTGGCCGGAGGCTCGCCACTCTGCAATCAGCCCAGGGACTGGTGTTCTTCCATTTTGCGAAATCCTCTCTTTATACTGATGGTATGAAAGGCTGTCGCCTTGTTAGTAGGAATCAGGTGGTTGCTTAGAGAAAATGCTCTGAATATTCGAGACAGAGAGGTGGGAAAGAAGGGAAGCTAGGAGGCCAAAGGGGAAGAGAGACTTCAGGCATCAGCTCCTGCATTTCCTTGTTCCCTGTGAATGGCTGCAGTTGCTGGCTCAAACACAGGAGCACCTTAGACACACACAGCTGGGGTTCCAGAGACTCAGTTTCAGTCTCTGCTGGGCATAGAGTCACAGCTATTTCCGGAGTCTGCTAGGCAGTAGCTCTGAGTCCTCCTTGTTTTCATGCCCTTTATCCAACCCTTTCCTCTCTCCCATGGTGAGAATGAAGACCCTAAAGGAGCAATCATTTAAGTTCTGTACCCCCTCGCTCTTAACTATCCTCATGTTTTCGTACTTGGGTTTATACACATTCCAGCAACCACCATGCCCTCTCTATAACCCACTCTAGCCTCGAAACTCTTCAGTGGTTTTTTCTACTGAATCTGTTCTTCCAAACCTCACACTCTCATAGACTCTTTCTTTGTAGCACACAGGCCTATTTAAAAGCTATTCCTCAAGTTTAAACTGTCCATCTTTCTGGTTTCCCCTTCTCCACCCAAATTTCTTTTGAAACAACCTCAGAGACTGCAGCAGCTTGATTCTCTTCACTTTGAGTCTTTCTTTTGTCTGTAAGCAATGTCTCCCAGCTGTGAATGCTTGTCTTACATAGCCTTGTGGTCTGCCGTGCTTTTTGCTTTTTTTTCCTTCTTTTATACTTTATAGGGAATTGACCTACAGCCTATGTCAGACACTAGAGAAACAGAAATTAATGCGACAGCAAAAGCCGTTGCCGGCCACGGTGCTGATAAAAACCTTCCCTTCCTTGGATGTTTTCCTTCACTGATTCTGGAAGCATAGCCCCCTGGTCTTCCTTCTGATGTATTAAAGTCCCTTGTGCCAGAGCTGCCTCCTCAGGAGAAGAGATTACTATATGGTTTTCTCCCCTTTCCTATATTGCTCTATGTGCTGTGTGACATAATTTCATAAAGCCCTTGGATAATTTCCAAGGCTGGGATTTCTGCCCAGACATCTATTGTAATGGATGCACTCAACAGTGAATGGGCTGCTTCACCAAATGCAACGTGCCAGACTGGTCTCGCCATCTTCGCCCACATACCCTTCATGTTCCACACCGTCTCCAAGACATTACACATTCCCTCTTTCCCATTCTTCCAACAAACCACCAAATCCATCCGGTATCAGGTCCTTAAGAGCTTTCAGTTTCTTCAGATCTTCTCCAACTCTCCTGCTACCATAGTCCACACCAGTGTTTTTGCCACAGTAGTGAAAATCTTATATTTCCTACATCCTCTGAAATCCACCCTTTCAAGTTCATCCTGGACGGTATCTCTCAGTTAACATTTATGACCATGCATTAGTTTCTCTTTGTTCTAAACTAACACTTTTCTAAAACTCCTCCCACTGATTTCAAAAAAATTCAGTCATAATAGTATGACTTATAAAAATCCTTGAAATTGCCTCTAATTCTCCAGCCTTATTATATCCAGAAGTTTTTTCATGGTTAAAACATATATTACTTTCTTTGTGTGGGAGAGAAGGTGTTTGCAGACTCCAGCATCTTTGCACTATGACGTTTGAACATTGTTTTAGGATTTAGAAACTATTTTCCCTCCCACTATGTTGCAATGCAGTCATGCTGTTGCAATTGTCAAATGCACAGAGCAGTGGGGTCTCCTACTCCCCAGGGACTTTTCAGGGATGACCTGGCCGATCTCATTCACTGTTTCTCTCCTCCTGGCCCCTAGACATCTTTACAGGCTGGATGGCTCAAAGCTTGAAGACACCTTTACTAGCACAAACCTGGCAGCGGAGGAATCATGAGCTTCCTTCCAACTGTTCCCTTCGTTACCACGTCTACAATATCAACTACATTAGACTAGATCGCAAATATTCTTTCAGTTCTTACCATGACCATTCCAAATGGTGCGTTTCCCGCAACTTCAACAATCACTGGACCTGTATTGGAGATCTAAATCGGGACCCACACCAAGCCTTTAGAGGTGGGGGATTCATCTGTACCATGAGTTGGCACATTTATCAGTCATTTTATGGAGCGGTGATTCATTATGAAAAATGTGGCTAAGCTTGGGGAAAGGACATGTGCAGTGCCCTCGAAAATACTGGAAACGGAACTTCCTGCCTTGGATCCATTCTCCATATGTTAAAGGTTTCTGAGCGTGCACAGCATAGCATCCAACAAAACACGGTGGGTCCCCATTTCCCAATCTGTTTAATCAGTAGAAATTTGTCTCCTTTGTATTTAGGAATTAGAAACCCAAATCAAGATATACAAATAACAATAATGGATGGAATGAATGAGAATATTCTTGCAGTTTGGTCATCTTCAGTGGCCGATCTTGTAGATTAAATTTGATCTCTTCCACAAAGCTCTCCTGACTGTTCCGTTTGAAGAAAATAAAAAGTGTGCGTGCGCTCTCTCTCTCTCTCTCTCTCTCCTCCCCTCTCTCTCCTCCCCACTGGTTTATAGTTTTGTCTTGCCATCTTTGCAGGTGCTATTTACGACTAATATATTCTTGAACTGCTCACTTTAATTCTCCATGTCATTTTTGAAGGAAATCATACCTAACTAAGCATGTTCAGCCCCCTAGTACAGAACTTGTCTTGTAGCTGGCTAACAATTAAATCACTGGAGGAAGCCAAGCCTATAATCCCAGCTTTTCAGGAAACCAAGACAGAGCTGTTGATCACTAGTTCAAGACCGACTTGAATACAAAGTGAATTCAAGGCTAGCCTGGGCAACTTAGTGAGAACTTATCTGACAAAAAAATTAAAAATGTCTGGGAGGTAGCTCAGTAGTGGAGCCTTTGTACAGCACATGCAAGACCCTGAGCTCCACCTCACTTCCTCTGTAGTACAGTACAGGATGCAAAATGGTGGTGAGATTTGAATCTGACCTCCACCCAATAAAAAAAAAAAAAAGACACAAAGAAGTTTTATGAATGGTTTTTAGGAAGGAATAAGTGAAGAGATAGGATGAAAACAGTGTGAGTCTAAGTCCATGAATTTGAAGGAAATGCATGTAAATGAAGAAGCAAAAATCAAGGGTGGTCACCTTAGTGTCCGTGTTTCTTTTTCTGGAGTTCTTGCCATGAAATGCATGTGATGCAAAAGGATAATAATAAAATCAAAGGATCTAACTGCTTAATAAACTGGTAGATGTGGGTTCCAAGATCAAAGGCTGAGGATCGAGCAGAAGTCCCCACACAGTGACTGCACCCAGCCCTGACTGACTGAGCAGCGTAGTGCAGTCAACGCTCGTTCGTTCTCTTATTTAATCTTTTTGGGAATTCTTTTCAGCAATAACTTCCATTATCCCCATTTTCCTGCCAAGGTAATGGAGGCCTTCAGAACTGTTTGACTCTGAAGCTGCTCTCTTAGCTGGGATTCCGGAAGACAGTAAAGGAAGTGAATACTTACAGGATTATAATGTTCTTGAGATTTCAGTCCATAGAGCCCAGTGATTCAGTGACAAATCATGAAAAAGTTGCTTGTCTTCTTTTCAAAAACAATTACAAGGTATGGGTATTTTGGATGCTTTCTGCACACTTGGGAATAATAAAGGGTCAGGGGAAAAATATTTAGGTCTCACAGAAAAGTCCGCGTATAAATAATCTCCATGAAATGGGACTGTTAATGGAAATTTTAAAGGTGCAAGATGATGACTCACAGTTGGAGAGGGGCAAAACTTAACCCAATTAGACAAAGAAGAATAAGTGAGACATGAAAGGAAGGTTAAAATGGAGGTATTCTCCGGAGCTAAAAATATACACTAGGTTGAATCGTCTCCCAACACATAACTCCAGATAGTCTAGAAAACAATACATCCCACACTCACAAAAATACAAACAAATGCAGGGCGGTGGTGGCGCACGCCTTTAATCCCAGCACTCAGGAGGCAGAGGAAAGCAGATCTCTGTGAGTTCAAGGCCAGCCTGATCTAGAAGAGCTAGTTCTAGGACAGAAACCAAAAGCTACAGAGAAACCCTGTCTCGAAAATCCCAAGGAAAAAAATTCAAGCAAATTAGGACGCTAGAATAGAGTCAGATCACACAGAAATAAGAGTGTAGAAGCAGGAGATGAAAAGGACGGGGCCAGTCTGCTGCAGACACACACCTGAAGGGCATGGCTTCTGATGATGGAGGGATGGAAATACTCAACCTCCCTTGAGGAAGGAAAGAAAAGGGGAAAGCAGCAACCCTCGTGGTCCCAATACTGGGAGGAGGAAAGCTGTCTCTGTGTAATTTCCTATGGAGCAGTTTAAAGGCAGCCACAACGGAACCCAAGTAACAAACAAGTCCCTCTTTCTCAAGCACATGGGACAGGAAAATAGGAGAGGTGTCTTCAAGGAATGACATCATTAGCAGGAATCTGAAATGCTTCAGAGTACCAAGCATGTTTTCATTCATTTCGCCCTGGAAGAAAGGGGTGAGTACAGGACATAATAATGGATTAAATTTAAGTCCTAAACTATGGTTTAAATGCTGGAACGATGGACAGTGGGTGGGGGCTCCTTGGGTAAGAGTGTCTGTCTAATAAAGTTAGCAACCGGAGCTCAATTCCTGGAACCCGCAGTGGAAGGATAGAACCAACTCCCTAAAGTTATTGCATGTGCACACACATACGCACTAATAAATAAAGTAAAAATTAAAAATAAGGGGCTGGAAAGATAGCTTAGGAATTATGAACACTTGCTGCTCTTATAGAAGATCTGGGTTCACATCCCAGAACCCATATAGTAGCTGCAACTCCAGTTTTAGAGGATCCAATACCCTCGTCTGGCCTCCAAGGGCACCAGCCACACACAGTCATACATGAAAGCAAAACACCCTACACATAAAATAAAACTTAATTTAAAAACCAAATGTAAAATATTTTAATTAAAAACCCATATCTAAGCTGGGGGTGTATCTTACAAAAAAAAATAGATAAGCTGGAAAATGGCTGTGAAGAAAAGAACTTAGAGACTGATCTATGGCAACAAAGTTCTAAGATGGAGTGCCGAGCCATTTCAGCTCTGCCTTCACACTCTGCTAGAAGAGCTATTATTTCCTGTCTGCTATTCTCAAGGGAACTTTTCCTCTGTAAACCCAGATGATTAGACCAAGTGTGGGCTTGTGAGACCAAAGAAAATAAACCATTGGAAGAAGATTCAGAGTAATGGTCCCAAACTGAACTTGAAGGCATAGGCCTTGAGTCTGGAAGGAAGTTCATGTACAGTGTCACTGAGATGCTTGTTTATTGCTAAAGTAGAAACTGCTGGGATTTAGGGTTTGAGGAACAGTGTGGACACACTATGAGAAACCAGGGAAACCTGAGAGTCTTGAGCAAATGCACCATTTCCATCCACTCAGACATCAGCTGAGTTCCTCATGGAGCTCAGGGAGTCTTCTTGGTCATATATGTTCTGTGACATTTCCCTACATTTAATTCTTTACTAAATGACCCTTTTTAGCTTAGTTATAGGCTAAGTAAGCCTGTATCAGTTGGAGATACTATTGCTATGATGAAACTGAGTGAGCGAGTTGAGGCAGAAAGGGTTTATTTAGCTTACACTTCTGCTTCGTAGTCTGTCACGGAAGAAAATCAAGGCAGGAACTCAATCCAAGCAGGCACCTGCAGGCAGGAGTTGATGCAGTGGCCATGGCAGAGTGCACCTCACAGGCATGCTCATCATGTTTGTTCACCCTGCTCTCCTGCAGCACCCAGGACCACCAGCCCAGGGTGGCCCCACCCACAAGGAACTGAGCCCTCCCACAACAATCACTAATTATGTCCTACAGGTGCTACAGCCTAATGAAGAATTCTCTCAACTGAAGCCCCCTCCTCTCCAAAGACTCTAACTTGTGTCAAGGTCACATAAAACTGTGAACTTGCTTATTTTCATGGAGACAGCCTTTCCCTCGGTATAGAAGCAACAAAGACAGAGTGAGTTTGGGACCAAGTCTTTATAACAGAAATAATAACGGAGACGTGGATGATGATGCTAATAGTGTCCCAATGACGAGCACTTTGCATACCAACATAAAGCTTGAGAACGTAGCCTAGGATGGAAAAATTTTCACATGCATCAATAGGAAGAAATTGGTGGGATGAGATAAAACAAAGAAGTTGTGTTAGGATTTCAAATATCCAGACATGTGTTAAAGTTCATATCCAGCTTTTAAAAAAAATAGTGATTGATTTTTGGCTTAATACACTAACAATTTCAAGGAATAGATGTACTAGCTAGAGGAAATTCCAACTCTGAATCTGACTCATGAAATCAAAGACTCTTTGGGTGAAATAAAAATGATGGGATCCTCAGCGGCAGGTATGTCTGAATGACTATGAAGGAAATGATGCTGAGTAGAGTCCAGGGTTATAAGATCTGAGACGGAACCACAGAAGCAAGTTTGGCTCAGTGGATGGAGATGCTCAAAGGGAATCCAGCTCAGGATGTTAAGATGGAACAGTGACTCTGTGAGCTCCCCACTAGGAAGAGAGAGCGCCTGCAGAGAAAGCGAAGCAGCTGCACAGTTGCCATTTTACGAGCTCACTTATGACTCGAGTGACCTGCAAAGCTACTGTTCACAAAAAGGTGCGATGATTAAAAAAACATTTTATGGAGCTGGGGAGATGGCTCAGCAGGGGAAAGCACTTGCTGCATAGGCCTGAAAACCTTAGTTTAGATCCCAGTTGCTCATGTAAAAGTTGGGCACCATAGCCGGGCGGTGGTGGCGCACGCCTTTAATCCCAGCACTCGGGAGGCAGAGGCAGGCGGATCTCTGTGAGTTCGAGACCAGCCTGGTCTACAAGAGCTAGTGCCAGGACAGGCTCCAAAGCCACAGAGAAACCCTGTCTCAAAAAAAAAAAAAAAAAAAAAAAAAAAAAAAAAAAAAAGTTGGGCACCATGTTGCATGCAGTCCCAGCCGTGCTATGATGAGATCAAGAGATGGAGGTAGACAGTAGAGGCTTGCTGAAGTTTGTAGGCTAGCTAGCCTGGACCACAGCTGTCAATGAGGGAAACCCTGCCTCAAACCTAGTAGACAGATACCAGAGGTTGTCCTCTGGCCTCTATACTGGTGCCATGGCAGGAATGTTCCCTCACACACAAGGACATACATACACAACATACAACTACAAAAATAAGTATCTAGAAATACTTTATATTTTTAGTAGAAACTAATAGTTATGAAATGTGGATGCTACAAAATCTTTGTCTTTCCTTTCCAGTGAAGTAGGTGATATTTAAGATGTGGAAAAATGATCATAAATAATCTAGTCACGATTGCTGCAAGGCAACTTTAAAACAACACAGATCTTTACAGTGAGGTTACATCCGCAGGTCTATAAATGAAAGCAAGGACTTCTAGAAGAGCAATGACCTT